AATATTGAAAATCAGAAATTAGCTTTTGCAATTCTTAAAATCGGATTCAAGTTCAAAGAAATTAACGTGTTTACTCGTATTTTTTAAGAACCTGACTGGTTTCTAAGAAGATTCGGTGATTTTGATTTTTCTTTCGGAATAGAAACGACGTTGAGGTTAATAATACTTTAGTTTGAGGAACTTGAAATAAGTATTTCACATTAGACATGATATACAGTGAGTTTGTTGCTTGGGAATTAAAGGTCAAATTATATATAAATATTTATAGATAAATATTTAGACATAAGTCTAAACATTTTCTAAAGATAGATAAATAATCACATAATTATATAATATAAGAGTAATCATATAGTATTGAAATAAATATTTCATCCAAAGATAATCTATGAGAAGGAATTCAATTAAGAAATCAGGACATCTGAAACACCGATATTTCTTAAAAAGTAACGTGAAAGTAAAAAGAAGTGTATAGCAATATCATTAATTAATACCAAAAAATTTAGATTTAAGTTAAGCGTAGTTGAAGTTCATATTCTAAATGATCAAATATATAACTAAATGGTGAAGTGGAAATTTAAACAAATCTTTAAAAACGTACAAGTCACAAAGTTCAAGTTTGCATGTGAAAACAAAATATGAAAATCTCATATGCATGTTCAATAACATTATGCAATGTGACATAAAAAGTATGTCTGAAAACAATATCTCATCTAGGGACTAAAACTATGTACGAACAATACATACCATATTGAAGGTATGCTATAGAATTTTATCGTTATAATTTATATAATTATGCTACTATGGTAGAGAACAGTTATTTTTGACACTCTATGCCTTTATTCTCACTCTAGTGTGATAGCAAATATGATTTCCCAAGATGGAATATTCCAGCATCTAACCAGGAATAGAATCAAGTTTCAGAAAGAAGACATTTAGTGACACAAAAATCAGTATTCACAAATGTATATTGACCATGTATGACTCGGGTCATCAAGTATACGCGTGACACACGAAATTCATATCTGACGGCCGTAAGGAGTGGCAGATAACCTTCACACTTAAAAGTTAATCGATTACACACGGTTCCCATGAGATCTCTCGCAATCAGGAATTTTCCATTATTATAAAAATCGTCGAATTTGAAATTATTCAAATCCTCCTTTAAACAAGCGGGTCCGATAACGTTAAATGCTATATTATCTAAATGACATTGGTGATGATACTTCTAAAGTAAAGAATAAGAGAAAATCTTGGAAGTGAAGGTAGATAGAGGAGTCCTTGAGTAGAATATGAAATTAATGAAATGTTTTAGAAATCTTTCAGCATCTTTAACAAACTGGTTCTCTCTAGACTATGTCTAGATGATCACAGTGATACTCTTCACAGATAAAAAACAGAGAAAGGTATTAAGAACAGAGAAAGAAAGTTGGAGATTAGATGAAAAATTACATTAATGAATTTTGGAAATCTTTAAGGATCTAAAATCGAAAAAATATTTAAAAATCCACAAAACCAATTATGCTTGGGACTTTGTAGTATCCTTTGTACAGCTATGAGAAAAATGTTAATTTTCCAAAATTCTATCGAGGAATTAAGATCGGAATAATTAAAGGACAATTCTATTAAAATTCTCAAATCATTCTTCATAAAATTTTGAAAGAATAAGAGCGAATAATTCTGAAATACTTTGATGTAACGTGAGTTACATATAGTGCGTTGCATTTCTGTTTTAAGACACGATATTTAGTGGGTGGGCTTGTGAAAATAGCTAAGTAGCTATAAAATTAGATAACTCATGGCGAAAGGCCATCCAAAAAGCTCGAGGCTCCGTAGGCCGAGAAGTTTGGCTCAGAATCGATTCGATTTAACTGCAGTAATTTCATACAAGGTCACGGTTTCGAGTCAATGACAGGAAATATCACGCGATAGCACGCAACTAGAACAGGAAAATTTCTAGGAAACGTGCAATTGTGTGTTTAAACATGATTTCTCGTCCAACAGGTTCGTAATTGTCAAAAAATGAAGAAGATCTGACTCACTGTGTCCTCCAGAGATATTTGTATTCCTTGAAAAGAGGAAAAAAAAAATTTGAAAAATTGTGGACGTGAAAATTTTTAAGTAAAAATAGAGAGAACTGTTTTATCGGTAAGAAAAAAATACGATCTGAAAATTGATTTCTTGCTAATAACTAATTTCGATAATCGTAAAAAAAATATCTAATCCGATTATTAACAAGAAGAAGAAAAGTTGATTTTACTTTGAACCACTTTGTTAGTAAATAAGAGAGACAAAATGTTGCAGTTTGTACGAGTACTGAGAAATTTTTCGAAGATCTGCGGTGAGGATCGATTTCTTTATCCTGGATTAAGTGTCAAGTTAAAGGATCAGGTGTCCAGAACATTCTACTTAGGTTGACCTAGCTGGTTCTGGTACAAACTGCAAGTCACTTTAAAGTGCGATTATCTCATGCTGAACGTTACAATTCTTACTTATACGTTTGTAAATCAAACACACCTACACTTCTGTAAACTTTCTTGGAATTTAATATTCATTACAATCATAAAATTATGTTAAATAAAGTTAGTAAAAAAAATACTTAAACTTTAAATTATCTATTTTAAACGTGACTGTAAATTTAATTTAAAGAAATAAATTCGAAGACATTAAGGAAAAATTTTGTTTATAAAACAAAATTCATCTTTGTACATTACGGGTAACTTTGGTACTTATAGATAAAATTGAATTCTACCGTATCGACTGTTTTAGATTAGTAGAAATTCACGTTCATATATAATTTGAAATTCATAGGTTAATTTAGACCTAAATCATTATACAAATTTAAAAAATTTGAAAGTTCATTTGTACAAATGCAAATGAACCTTTGAATTTAATAAATGCTGAAAAGTGATTTACATTAGCGTACAAATTAACAATTCAAATAATGTATGTTATGCAATGCAATATAGTAGTTCATAAATAGTACAAGCGATTAACACCAGCAAGATGTACCGCAATAAAAGTATAGTAAGTTTAGCTCGAAGTATACAACTTTTTGACTAATAAATGTCTTTAAAATTCATAGGTTATCTATGAAAACCGACACCATTTTTCCCGCGCATTTTATTATTATCGGTAAAATGAAATACTTATTTGACAATTTTTGTTTGCCATTATATTTGGACAAACATTTATTTTTATGCGTATAAAAAAGTTTAATGAAGTTTAATAAAAAGAAAAAAAAAAAAATTATATATAATAGAAAAACGAGTGCAATTTTATCATTCGTAAAATTTAATAGAACTCACTGATATTTCAAGCCTTATGATGATGACCTCGTCACTAATTATAGTTACTTTTCCTACTTCTTTCTTCTTTCTTCTTTCGCTTCCTTTAGATTTATTGATGAAAGATTGTATTAAAGTAATGGTATTAAACACACGAAAGAAAGTAACTACATGGAACATGAAAAATTGATTCGAAATTATCGTTCTTTCCATACGTATACACAAAATGACAATCAAAACTAAAAAAAATTATCGACACTTTTTTGAAAAATGAAATAACATTTTATGAAACGACATGTCTTTAACTTTGTCTTTGGAAAATATCTATAATAACAAAAGTCACTTTTTGATATAATTTTTTATCAAAACACGAGTATACATTCACCAACAAACGCCATTGCAAAACGCGGGAAATATAATACTATCGCCCTCTGCTCTCTTTTTTAGAAATAGAATTCAAATACAAAACATATGTTATCGTTCCTTTGTATCTTATTTTTTATTTATTTTAAATAGAATTTACATAACAAAATTTTCATTGAATTTTATTAACATATCTTATCGCAAAATTTACATTATGAAGTAGCACAAAAATACATATGATATAATATTTAAAGGAATGAAAAGACAATAAATATTTTAAATATTCATATATAATCTATATAATTATTAATCTGAAAATATTATAAGTAAATTATTTCCCAATTTTTTAAATTTAAGTATTACTGTTCTTATTGTTTTTACGTATTAAACAATTGTACTACGTAATTTCATCACTTACTTTCTTATTTATATTTCAAAAAAAAAGAAAATTAAGATAAAAATTTAATTACTTAAGATAAAATATGCGAATTAAATTTTTTCGGAATTAATCATCAAAAAGAAAAAAAGGAAGCAAAAATAAAAGACGTTACATTGACTCATTTACCTCATGTAAAAAGACTTGTTTACAGACCAGAGTGAATTAATGAATTTTCTGACGTAGAAAACGAATTGCTGCAGTGAGAGTACTGTAGCGCTTGTCATTAGTATTTATATAGTAAATTTATATCATTTATCAAAAAATATAAATTTAGTTATGATAATAGATGAGTAATGTAGTACATATAGATCCATAAGAGGTGTGTTTCGTGCGTTTAGACTAGTCGGTATTTTTATTTATATGTAGACACTCGTCAGTGTCGTGGGATTTCTTGATTAAACTATTAGGGTTGAGAAATCGCGAAGGTTTGTTGAATTGGCGAACCCAGCCGGTCCCATTCCATGGATTTATAAAATTTTTTAGCATGTGCGCGGTAAAGACATGAGGGGAGCGACTGACTGTATAATATTAATGTACCTGCGATTGGTTGCAAGTCGGAGGCTCGGCTAAACCGTTTAAAAATAAATTAGCACTTCGTACAGTATCGTGCGAGTTAAATTGAAACCGGCCAGTGCACTCGGGAAATTTACGCCGGCCGTTCGGGTTACTCGTGTCGTTTGAAGTCGACCACCATCACTTGTGCTTGCCTTCGTGCTCGATTATTCAAGGAATGACGCGCGATTCGGAACACGTGTGAGTTATCGGTGTGTTTTATGTCGTGTTGCAAGATCAATTCTCGTATTATCTATTCGAAAACGTGTAGAACAGAAGATCAAACCTAACCTCAAAATCGCGCGGACTTGTATCTTTAATTAGGGTTATACTGCCTGGTGTATTAAGTTTTGAATTTTATTTAAATCGAGTGTGACAGATTATATTTTTGATTGTACAGTATTGGTGTATTATTTACTGCGTTTATTTTTTTATAAGTGCAACTTTTTGGAGAACCTTCTATGATATGGTGGTAGAAGAATCGTGACATTGTCTATCTAACAGTATGTCAATGAGGAGGATAGTCTCACTTGTTGCTGTGTTGTTTGTTAATCTCACAAGTAAAAGAAGATAAAGAGTGATTCAAAAGAAATGGTATAATTAGTGTGATACGCATACGTAAGTCATGTGTAACGTTTGCGATTCGTCGACGTGTATTCTCGTCGTATCCCATCATCGTCTATCATTCTTTTTATTTGATCGTTATTGCGTCATGAATTTACTCGGATGAAAACGCATTTGTTTGCTATAATTTTATACGCTGCACATTGTTGACCCTTTCTCGTTCTTGTGAAAATGTGGATTGAATGATCTATCAATTGCGTAATGTCATTGATAACGTGAGAAAAATATGTGGACGTTTTCTTTACTTTTTCGAAATCTTCGCATGTGTTACATACACGAATACCTAATCTCATGTATAAAAAATGTTGTGTATTTCGTTTTACTGGCTAAAATTATGAATGTTTTTACTTATGGTTGTGTTTCAATGATTATGATGTACTATTATAACTTTGTTGATCATACGTCAGTGTTACCTATTGTTGGTCTCTTTTTCATATGCTTTTAGATTAAATGGTAGTAATATGTATATCTACATGAAATAAGACATGTTAGTGGGGCAGCCTTAAGGTATAATGTTTCGTAGTTTACCAGATAGGGTGGCAGGGCTATATTATGCCCATGGCCTGTTTTGCTCCTCTCATCCTATTGCAGTTATTTCATTGGCAATCTCAATTGTATTGCTATGCTGGTTAGTATTACTTTTTGTAAGTGTTCTTCATTCATAGCTTTGCAAATAATAAGAATTAAGAGACAACCATTAATTTTGTCTACAGCTATCCTTTGGTCAATTTACCAATGCCTGGCAATGTGCCAAGGACTATAATCAATCATACTATTGTACCTGAAAATAACACAGAAAACTCTGTGTTTTATGTTCAACAAGTGGTATTAAGGGTTGGAGTTATACCATGGACAGAGGAATTAACATTAATGGATGCTTTTAGGGGTCCATTGCATGAAGTTTTTAATCTTTTGGAAATTATACAAAATTATCAGCATCCAGAGACGTAAGTGTCTTGTATTTGATAATATCTTGAATCAAGTTGTATGTTTAATTGTCTTGTATCTTGTAGATTAAAGACACTTGGTCAAGTATGCTTACATATTGAGGCAGTTAAAAAAAGAAATGGCAGAAAGTCAGAAATATTGCCAGAATATAACTGCCTTGTTCTTTCCCCTGCAAATTTATGGCAACGAAGTATTGAACTATATGCACAAGATACGAATCTTATAAATACCATATATTCATATCAGGTATGAACATTAAGAAAATATTGTATTTTATATAATCCAAAAATAATAAATTATTGAGAAGATGATTTGTTATAATTATATAATTATCAATTATGTATTATAGAATCTACAAAAAGGTAAAATTAGTTTAGCTGAAATAATGTTTGGGATGAATCTTAAAGAAACTGGAATAAAAAGATATCCATTGCGACTTAGACAAAGAATTTTACAATATGCAGTAACTATTTACTTAAAAGATTATGATCCCGAGTGAGTAATTAATTTACAAATGTCAAGATCATTGTTTATAGTTTACATTACCTAATTAAATCATTTTTCAGGTTTATAAAAGGATTACAACATAGATTGAAAAGTTACTATCACCTTCATCAAGTGGAAAATGATAATGATACTTATATCTCCATTGATGAAACATTGCATATCTTCTATCCTGGTGAATTTAACTACAGTGATATTTTCCCACTGATAATGACATTTTTTGCTTTATTTTTCTATGTCTATTTCTCTGTTCGGAAAATAGAATTAGTGAAATCAAAGATTGGAATAGCATTTAGTGCCACTGTAACAGTAATAGGTTCACTATCTATGACTGTGGGTGTATGCTTTTTTTTTGGCTTAACTTTAAGTTTAAATGGAAAAGAAGTATTCCCATATTTGGTGATTATCGTAGGATTGGAAAATGTGTTGGTATTAACCAAAAGTGTAGTGAGTACTCCGGCACATTTGGATGTGAAGATACGTGTTGCTCAAGCCCTGTCCAAAGAGGGTTGGTCCATCACTAAAAACCTGCTTACAGAAGTAACGATCTTAACAATTGGATTGTTTACTTTCGTACCAGCCATACAAGAATTTTGTATATTTGCCATTGTTGGATTGGTCAATGATTTTTTTCTTCAAATGGTATTCTTTTCGACAATTCTTGTCATTGATATTAAACGAACAGAATTGTCTAGTGAAACATCGAAATTTCATTTGCCAAATATACCATCTACGCGTAAACAGCAATTTACGACAACTATAACAAATAGAAAGCCGAATATTTTTCGATCAAAATCTCATCCCAGGTTAAATGGTTTGTCTAATGGTCCAACAAATGTCATAGCACCTAATACACAAAACACTCATACATTGGGTAAAATTCCAAAACGTTTACGTTTAGTACATTTCTGGGCAAGAACTCGAATATTTCAGCGTGCCTTTATGGTATGGATGGTAGTTTGGATCAGCATGATCATTTATAATTCTGGTATTGTCGAGCACGTCATACATTTAAGTGAAACTTTAAAGCCAGAATCAGATATTGAGGGATATACAGTAGACAGAGCTCAGTCTTTAAATAATTATGTTGAATTGAACACCATGAAACCAATGTCAATGCCTTCTGCTACCATTGATCCAGATCATTTAAATAAACAGGTAATTTAAGAATCATATACTTTTATTGTGTTTAAACTTTAATCATATGAAATTTTCAGTATATGAATTTTAATTCACCGTATTTTATTATACATTAGGATGATCTGACAAATAATGTTACTGATGAATTAAATAAATTAAGACCAGCGGAGTTTCCACCTTGGAATCGCTTATCACTTTATCATTGGTCTTCGATCCTTTCGATGTACAATATCTCTGCCGCCGGTGGAAGAATAATTATATTACCTACAGTGAAACTGTCTCATGCTGTTAGTCCACAATTAGTAAAACAAATTAGTAATCCGAACGATGTGCAACATTTTCAGTGGCAGAGTTTTGCAACTGCTGCTCTCGATCCATTAGACTTTTCAGGTATATGAACATAATATGAAAAACCATCAATTAAAATTAATCATCAATTACTAAATTAAGAATTTATTATAGACATGGAATTACCAACCAGATCTGAAGCACGAGGGTTTAATGCGGATGCTCCCTTTATTCCCTCTAGTCCGATGGAAATATTCTTAGCGGCGGTGCTATGTCTCATTAGTGTAATTGTTGTTGCCTATACAATGGTTGTCCTGTATAGATGCATTTGTTCTAGGAACTACGCCGAATGGCGGGCTAGTTGGTATCAGCCAGAGAAGGCACATGATTCAGCCACACAGTTAGTTTTAGAAGCATCACCCCTAGTTCTTGAGGGTCATAATCAAGAAGTAGAGTGTATTGCTACAGATAGTAACACCATAGCCAGCACGTGTTTGGCTGGGCACATCAGAGTGTGGGATACGACGTCAGGTGAACAGTTGGTGCATATAGACCGAAAACAGTTTTTTAGTAGTCCCTACAAAAATTTGAATCACGTGACACCTGATATGGATGAGTTAATGTCGGATTACGAAAGTGGTTCGCCACCTTCGAGAGGAGAAATGGAGAATACCAATTCGTTTGGATTATACTCAGCAGCATCAGCTGTACACTATAGAAAATCCTCTCCTGGATTATATAATGTGTACCGAGGACAAAATAATAATAATAAAAGACATTCAATGGGGAACACATTAGACTATGATTATCAAATCAATGAATTTAGTTTCGAGAGAAGGAAAAGCGCCCGCAGAAGTTTAGATAATGCTTATGATCTTCCGGACTTAAAATCAACAATAAATACCAAATTTTCATCCATGAAACTGTCATCAGGGCAGCAAGTTTATGAGCAAGGCTTTGACTTTGGTGATCAATATAAGCATCTTTTTGAGGAACACAATAAATCCATAGATGAGCTACGGAATTCAGAAAGCTTAGAACAATTGTGCATTCCTAATGAGAAATTAAATTCATCTGGTATAGTGAACAATGCATTCTCATTAAATACGGATAGAACTGTGCAACTTACACATACAGTGTCTCCCATTTGGTGCATGGATTACCAGGAAAATCTTATAGTTGTAGGCTGTGCAAATGGAAGTTTGGAATTTTGGGAAGGTACTACGGGTAAATTTAAGGTGAATATTACGAAAAATCAACATTAATGTAATCAGTATTTTAGAAAAAAATAATAAAATAAATATTTCAGTGTTTATTTGACGATGGATCAGGTCTGGGAATATCTGCTGTAAAATTTATCGGTAGTAGAGTGGTAGCAGCTAAGTTAAATGGATCTATTGATTTTCTACAATTAGAAAGTTATAGTGAAGGTCAACAGATTGATTGGGGTTTTACCTCCTACAGAAGAAGTAAGCTCATTTATAAAGGTTTTGTGTATATTACTACTTAGACATATTATTCTTTATTCTATCCCTGTTTTAGCTCATGTTAGAACTGGAAGTGCTGGTTCACCTATGGATATTAATAACATTATGCAATCTGAAGAAGATCTTCGTTGTATAAAAATTAGTTCTCATAAAGCACACCAGCAAGCAATAACCGTGCTCGACAGCGAAGGGGGTCGGGTTTTAACTGGTAGTCAGGATCATACTCTTAAAGTATATAGGTGTGTAACTCTATTTTATAATATCTATAAGACTTCTGCTAACTTAATGCTTACTTTATTTCAAATTAATTTTCAGGTTGGAAGATCAGTTGCCATTGTATACTCTCCATGGTCATTGTGGTCCCATATCTTGTCTTTTTATCGATAGAATGAGCCCTATGACGTCTGGTAGTGGCTCTCAAGATGGTCTTTTATGCGTTTGGGATCTCCTAACTGGTATTTATTCTATATTTTAAATAGAAAGTTTCATTTTTTTATACAGAAAGCTTGTATTTTAGTTTTGGTTTATAGGGACATGTATGTACAGTATACAAGCTCACGATGGTGCTGTAGCGGCTATTACATGCTCGGTCTCATATGTGATAAGCATTGGTACTGATGAGAGATTGTGTGTATGGGAGCGATTTCAAGGGCACTTATTACATACTCTTCCAGCACACAGATCAGCATACAGTTTACAATTAGTTATGTTAACACATCATCTACTCATAACCAGTAGTCAGGTATGTGTATATATTATTTTGCTTTTAATCAAATAATATAATTTAATAATGCAAATGCTTTTTCTTACATTTATTTTTGATAGTTAAAAATATTTCACAGTAACTTTTGCTTTAGAATAGACATTATAATATTCGGGTTTGTAAAAATAACAAAGGAATGTTTGTGAATTATATAATTTCAGGGATCACTAGTAGTTTGGGATGTCAGAACAGGGGAGCCTATACGCGAAGTGAGGTTGGGTCACAAGGATAGTTGTATTTTCGTAAAGCAAATGTTAGCATTAAGGGACAGTGTGGTGTGCGATTTCGGTCGACAATTGCGAATAGTCAGATTCCCGTTAGTTTCTGATAAGTTAGACTAAGATCTGTATATGCGTCATTGTACATAGCTGCTTCGTTTCTTATTTAATTTTAATACTTAACAAAGTCCCAGCACTAATGGGAATATAGATTTTTACACGATGTACATTTTACATTTTAAAAGTATCGTACACACTTTTAATATAAATATTTTACATTACTGACTACGTCATGGTTGCGCCTTAATATTTGTACTCTGTCGTGACAGTAAAAGAGAAACATATGTATGCTTATTCTTTTTGTTCAAGAACTATGAAAAATTTTAGTCGATTCTCGGGACCATTCGTGTACATTTGAAACAATACAAAGGTACTATGAAATATGAAATATATAGCTAAAGACAGTGATACGTGATAGAGAAAATATTTTTAGATAATAAAACCAGAGGATCGAATAATTTTTGGTATTTCCATTCATTATCTAAAGAAAAAATGGCTGTGTTATATTTCGAGGCATCCGTTTTGTTTCACGGCGCAATTAGGAGCATTTTCATATGCGTCATTTGTTATCTCCTTTTCTATTTAAGAGATCTCGAAACAGATTTGTATGCAGAAGTTGCATTTGTTAAACCGGGATTATTAAACACAGATATGTGCTGGTATTTCACTTCTGTGTTATAAAAACAAGTAGATAATAATAATAGAAAGTAATAAGATATACATATATTGGTTTATCAAAGTGAAAATTTAAAGTTAAATTGTTTTGAGGATTGACGCATTATGTATCGAATGTTTAACTTATAGTGAGATCTTTTTTGCCTGTAAGTAACTTTGTTATTTGAATCATGGTCTAAGAGTGCCTTTATTCCGTTTTTATTTAGTCAAACTAAATAAAGTAGTGTTGTAATAAAGGACTGTGGAAACAGATCTCAGTCTTCAAGTATGTAGCCCCATCTACATAACATCAAAGAAGGCTTTCAAACTTACAATTAATTAGAATTGTATGCTAAATGTTGATTCATTTAGCGGATTGACAGAAGAATAATTTAATTTTATCTGTCAAGAGTTCTTTACAAATGTCGAATTTAACGCTTGAAAGGGAACTCTTCGGTTAAAAAATTTAATATTTAACATCCCGTGTATTAAAACGTGTAGTCTTGTTTAGCTTTAGCGGTCTATTTTTATAAGGAGAATCGTTATTCTCGAACGAACTAAAATGGGTCCTATTTTACATATACTTATATAATATACATCATCGTAGAAGATTTAACAATTGTGTAAACTATCTTTCCGCTTCGCGATTCATTATAGTTCGAAGAGAAAAATATGTACATTTTGCGACACATTTAGGTAGGATGCACTTGTACAATGGTACAGGGGATATATGTTGAACCAATGTTTCATTCTTCTCTTGAATGGATAGACAATGTTGGTCTGAGATAAAATCGTGTGCAAAAGTGGTTTAATTAAATCTATGTGTGAAATTATATATGAAATTGTTGTTGAAGCAAATGTTTAATGTTACAGAAAGAGTCTCTAACAATTAGCTGGATGTACATTTAAATCAAAATTTTAGAATTTTATATTCAGCTTCAAAATACAGTGTTCTATTATGTATAAGTATTTATGCTTCCAATGTGATAAATAATGATACTTGGACTTCCAATTGTGTATTGAGACTTAATAATTTGCCAGAAGTAACTAAATTTTTAAAGATTCTAACAATTTAGAAATTTTTACACAAATATTTCCAGTTAATTGTCAGGACATTCTTTACTTGATTTTGAAGTTTGGCATGTATGTTATGAAATGAATGTTAAAAACATTAATCTATATGCCTTTAGACTGAATTGTATGACAGTTTGTATCAATAAGTCTCTCTTACTTTCTGATACCCTGTTCAAGGCAACTAGTGTTCGGTCATTGATCTATTAATAATAGAGATATATTTTTCTTAACCAAAGTTAAGTCATATCAGATCATGACACTTGTATTCATAGGAATTATTAATTGAAAGAAATTGAAAAAATAGAACAAAATAGTAAAAAAAAGAAAAAAACATTTTAAGTGCTTCTAACTATGCAGTTGGCTGGCTAACATTCATTTAGAATTCCGCGTGATTTTTATATTTATTTAATTAATTTAACATATGCAAATATCTCATACACCAGATATACTGTTCTTAATAAATTCTCACATTTACTATACCTCGACATCTTCTTACTGTTGCTACAATCCCTCAAAATGAATTTATTATATATCTGAACAATTCCTCGGTCCTTTCTTTTCAGACTTGATAAAATAAGTAAATAATTGATGCAGCTTAACAAATATTTTTCTATCAGATAAAAGTCACTATTTTTTCCAGTAAAAAAAAATCTTAAAGAAAATATAGTGATGGATATAACAGATCATTTTTACTTCACTGGTAAATATTCTGGAAAAATTATATTTTAAATAATGAATGCAATGGAAAATTAATATATTGTCAAGTTATAATATGGTCCACATATGGTGGAACTTTCCTCTAGATAAGGATTATGTTGTTACCGACATGATAGGATATAAAATGATAAGAACAAGTCTTTTCAACAGTGATGAATTAAGAGATCAATAAATGATATAGGTGGAGTATAATTCCATGATCAGACAGCGTGCGTAATATCGGATGCATATGTTAATCTTTTGTTATATTAAATAGCAGTATGTGGCTATCATTTAACAGTATATAATCCTCTGGCACATATACATTTATTATTTTGAATAGTACCATATTTTGTAATTAATGTTTTTGATATTAGGGCGCACAAGTGTAAGATTGAAATAAAACTAAATAACAAGCAGCAAATGAGTTTCATTAATGTTAAATTATATAAGGATATTCATGCATATTCAAAAGGAACCAAATAAGAGGTTGTTGTTCATCTTAATATTGTGTATTTTTAACATTAAACCTTAGAAAGTGTTGAGGAAATTAGATATCAAAATTAGAGGTATAACTTCAGAGAAATTCAACGTTATTTCAATTTCTATGCTCATCAAAGACTTGTAGAAGTTGACTATATACAATTGAAAGTTAATTGCACGTTACAATTAATTAAAACTTAGCCTACTCGAGCGTAATTGATTATGTTAGGAGCAAGCAAAAGCACATATGTAAGTAGTCCATTCGCGATGGATGGTATTGCTGATAAGCAGACTTGATTTTATCTAAATAACGCTTAAGTATGTTATCCTTTCCACGATACGGCATACTTGAATTTTCTGCAATATATATGTACCACTGTGCTGAATACCTATAACTACTTTTCGAAATGTTAACAGATGATCGAATATTTTTACGAATCTTACAATGTAAATAGTGAAATCGACACCTTCACTGTAATTATGTTATAATAACTTGGAAATTAATTATTAACGTATGACATACTACTCTTAATTGCACGTAATTATTATGATAAAGATTGAGGTAATAATTTGATAACCTTTTTACACTGATAAGATTGCAAATGATTTTAAATATAATGTTAAATAAAGCACTGGGCTTAATGAATACTTAATGGAATTCACATGTAGGAAAAAATATTTTAATTTATTTAAAAATAATGTTATCATTGCCAGAACCTTGTAGTTTTACATTACATAATCATCTGTGAAATTATAAGACAGCAAAATGAAGGCCTGAAGTTTTCCATAGTTATTGTGGCAATAAACAGCAGGTGTTAGAATAAGTGATACATTAAAAGCTATTGTAATTAGCATGCAGTCCCTTCTATGTTCAACATTATTTGTTAAGCTAAGGAAATTGTTTTCTTTTTTATATCCAAAATGAATTATAGATTACACAAAGATAAATTGTTGTTTTGAGAGGTACATATGGTTTCTTCATAAACAAATGATTAAGAAATATTCTTAGAACAGTTCAATAAATTGTAGATGTCAAAGAGGATTCCCTTAACAGACTTTCAAAAACAATTTTGACACATATGATATGTAACCCAATATATGCTGCCCACAGTTTAATGTAATGTTAAGATATAATAATTTTTCTAGATTACTTCAGTAAATTCCAAAATATCATAAAAGATCCATATGACCTATTCTAATCTATGTAACTATTCAATGTATTATTACATGTCAGTGATTTTTAAAACTATTTCAGTGATCCAGTAATACCATGAGGGATCTAAAGAGCAATACCAGTTTGGGATATCTATAATACCAGACTGTATTCATATTCCAAACCACTTGAATGAATTTCAAAAGCATGATGAGACTTTTTCTCTAATAAACTTTTAAAGATAAGGTAATAACACCTCATATTCATACCTCTAATCACTACTGGAGCCTTATAAACAGTTTATACTGATATTTCACCCCACCCCAAATATGTCTAGATACACACCACTCCTAATGTCACTTCCTCCCATCACCAGCATTCAGCTACCAGAGTATTCTGATCAATTTGCAAAGAGGATTAGCAACAGTACTCTCCCCGGTTGCGACTAAACTAAGACTATCCACCAGTCTAGGTGTAATAGCCTATATTTGCAGAATAGAGGGGGACAGGTCACATGTACCCATTCGTGAAAGCAGTTGTGTAAATGTGTTTGGTGGAGGAGGAATCGGAAGGAACACTTAAGTTGTTCGCTTTCGTTGGTCGTTTAGTGTGTCTGACAACAGTCCAGCGCAGGACTAGCTTCTCTCTCCTCGGCTTCCAAACGGAAGTCAACGTGTAAACACACGGTCAATCATCGTTCTCCAGTTCTTGCAAATCAGAGGAGGCCAGCTAAGCAGCAACTGATCGGCTCCGTCGCGGAAAATCCAAAAAGATGAAAGAAACAAGAAGCTAGTCTAGCCTCGTGCACCTGTTCTGGCAAGAAGCAGTGCTGTTGCCAATTTCTCTATTGTTTCACGCGATTGACAAGGTCAATGATCTGGAACTGAGCAAGGTACCACAAATGTGTTTTCTAATCGAAGTTTTTGAAGATCAGAATTTTAATTATGGATGAAGAATGGCACCGATGAGCCGTTCATTCGGGTCTTGGACCAACAGCTGACCGGTGAATGCGTAATTTGTTGCTTGACCGGTTTGGGTCGTTTGCCACGTGTTGGTGAAATTTGGCAAAGAAGAAAGTGTAAACTGATACAGGCAAACGAGAGAGAAGAAAGTACCGAAGAAATCGAATGTAATGTGAAGTAAATAGATTGGAAGATTGCAAAACTTCGAATTGGAAAGAAATTTTTGAAAGAAGAAAATTGTCAAAGAGAAACTCGAGGGAGAAGTTGCGAAGGAAATTTTGTAAAATATTTTCTTTTATGAAGAGACTCTTTGTGATTAAAAATTCGAAGAATTCTTCATGAAGAGGCGGAACCGATTAAAAATATAAGTGGAAGATGAATAAAAAGCTGGACAAGAATGATTAAATAATTATCGTTGTTTCTCCTAATTATTACACATTTGTGAAATTATTTTGATACTTATCTTCGGCTTCTTTCTTTTTAAATTACCAACTTCGATTAATTTTGATCAAGGAAAAACTGATTTTTGTCACCAACGGTTCATCATTGAGATTGGTCAAGTTTGGCAAATATTTTATTTGAACAGTCAACAAATTTTATACCGAAGAAGTTGTACTTGTGAAAACATACGAGGAACGCACGTGTAATAAAAATTTGAAAACAATCCGAGAACAGTGAAATTAATAACACATTGACATAAAATGGCGCAGGAAACAAATAATGATACAACCAGGTTTGTAATATCTTTTTGCTACTTTTACCGGCCTTTTATGTATGTAATCTATTACGGAAATAGTGAAGTAATTACTATTTAGCAAGTTTATCATGAGAGAACAATTATTTGTATTTCCTTAACATATTTCACTTTATGAATTATTTTTCACCTTTTATTTTCAATCAAAATTTGAGAAAAATATTATCGACGATGTTTATTGTCTTTGTGATTCAATGAAATGTTTGCTGGGGGCTTTATCAGACACACTATGATAGAGTTTAAAGTACGAGTAATCGAAGTATTTTGAACTTGATTTCAATAAATATTAAAATTAATTTTTCTAATATGGTTGAGGAAATATTGTTTATGTCATCAAAAAATATTTTTTGAAATATTGTTAAGAAAATTGCGTTATAGAAAAATATATATTTCTTGATATTCGTTTTAAAATTGTTTCCTCAAAATGCTCTTCGAAATTTCACAACTTTTCAGTGATACCAATTTTATTTTATTGTCGGGTTTTTAGTGCTTAGTTAATTTTTTAATTGGTGTTTGATTTCCACATAATTGGCGAGAAATCATTGCGTGACACAATGGTCTTATCGCAAAGTAAATTTTAGTGAACAAGTAACATATATTTAGGCATGCTTTATCATTTATCTGAAATCACCTTGTTTATTGGGCTTTTTATTGCAAAGGAAACTATATTCCTTGGAAATTGTTTTATTCCATTTATCATTATTACCATGATTATGTTATAGTAATACAGGATGTTAAAAAAATAGAATTTATGAATGTGAAAACTTATAAGGATGTAGGAGTTTTAATTACATTAGATATATTTCGCAAAAAATTTAATTTTTGGAACTGAGAAACAAATTTTTGTACAATTTTTTGATATCTGCTATTTATTTATATCAGCACAAAACTTGATTTAAAGTTTCATTTTTGTTATTTAGAAATAACTTATTTTTGGTTCCTTAAGCTCATCATTTTATACTAATTGCACTACGAATGGAAAATTATATTTTTTTCTTTACAGATCTTAGTCTTCTTTTTCTTTGCTGATCTAATCATTTTAATTATTCGAAGCCTTATTATAAAACAATATAGTTTGCCCTTCTAGCTATTGTTCTTCAATGGACTAATAATACTCTCAACATTCTTACAAAATGTTGCATAATCGAATAATATTTCATATTTCCTTTCAATCGTTGGTATTGATACCTTACGAAATATTCTTAGCTTACAATTGCTCAGAGGTTGTCTGTAATTAATGTAATAAATTTCGATATTGAACAAAATTGGAATATTTTAACTATTGTACGTTTAAAAAATTTCGATATCGATATTTTCATAATTTCACAAATTGAAGTGTTCGAAATTTTAGACATTCGTGTATCGAAAATTTTAAAAGATCGACGTTCAAATTGTCAAAATCAATTTTTCATTTTTGGACAACGAAAAATTAAAATTTTCAAAATTTCAAAAATTTAAATATCCGAAATTTTAGACATTTGTGTATCGAAAATTTTAAAAGATCGACGTTTAAATTGTCAAAATCAAATTTTCACTTTTGGGTAACGAAAAATTAAAATATTTACAATTTCACAAATTGAAGTGTCCAAAATTTTCGACATTCGTGTATCGAAAATTTTAAAAGATCGACGATCAAATTGTCAAAATAAAATTTTCAATTTTGGATAACTCTTTTCGTGATTGATATATTGGTTTTAGTTCATGCTTGTGACGTCTTTACTAACAATGCTTGCTATATTATTATCCAATTTTCTACTAAACTATTTTTAAATTTTCTATCGCAGTAAAAAACTTTAGATAATAGTCATTCAGCATTTCGAAACATTTAAACACTTCGAAGAAAAAAATAATTAACTGCATATTATATTCGAGTACATTTTGAGATCTAATTGGAATTTCAAATCAACGAATAATTAGCACATCTTCTATGATATACTCAATATAGTAGCTGAGTTTGCAGGAAAACAAAATTTTTCTCTTATTGTTTATTTGCTTATTACCTTGAACTAAATCGTATATATTATTTCTATTTGTGCACTTAATTGTAGCCTTAACTGTAACGTCAATTTTTATGTTAGGATACTAGTCCGTACATAGGAAGGTTGGTAATTAAATCAGCAACTAATGACACCAACTGACATCTTAAGCTAAAGGCCCATTTACAAGGAACACTGATCAATTGGTGCTAAAGTTGCAAAGATTTTTCTACACGGTTTTTTTCTTATTATTTATTTATTTATTTATTTATTTTGTTATGTTTTTAGTATCTTTTATTTTTATTTTTTATTATCTACTAAAATGAAATAATAAGTAGAAATTTATATCAAATATAAAATGCTAAGCATCGATCAAGTTCTTAAGAAATTAAAAAACTCTTTTGATTGATTACTCTGATTGTAAATAGCTCATATGTTACAAAAGATAAGAAAATGCGAGTTAAAAATCTGATGTCTCTGATCTGATCCGATGGATCTGATGGATCAACAATGGGGAAAGAAAGAAAGGAGAAAAGTAAAGAAACGAGAATGAAGAAACAGTCTGTTGACAATAAATTATTTTCATAACGTGATTTTTCATTTTGCATTGTAACGAATAAAATTAAATTATAATTGTCAATTATAACTTTGTCTATCAGAGGGAATAAAAAGGTGATTGAGGCAATAATAATTTTGCAATTAATTGCTTCCTTCATATCTTGATGAGCGAGACAGCATATAATGTATAGTTAATTTTAATTATTGTCTATCACTAATTATTACAATTTATTTAATCAATCTTATTAATAATGTAAATTTATTATTCGTAATTTGATTTTATATATTTACTTATTATAATCTATTTTCGTATTATAAAGAAAATATATTTATTATTATATTTAATATAGTATACATTTATTATTATATATAATGAATATATATTCCTTTATTATATATATATTTTATTAAATATATATTTTTATGTAGCAAGGAATATTCATTTTCAACTAACTGTTTTTTCATTCTCTCGCCAACAGAATTTCCTTTCATTTCACGTATGTTCAAGGTGAATCAAGATAGGGAATTTTTTTTATTTTTTATACATCACTAACATCCTAATTTACATATTTTTGAGCTATGTAAAAAAATCTCTACGACTTTGGCATCAGTTAAATGTTCTATTAGGACAATGCAATACTCTTTGAATTTTAATTGTAATAAGAAAAATAATGGCTGAGGTTTAAATGGTTTATTTAAGTACACAAAAATTTCATATAGTAATTTCCACCGTAACAAATTAGGAAAAGGAAAGAACAAAAATTGTTCAAAATTTTATTTTAATTTCTTCCACAAAATATATTTTATTCGCCATTAAATTTTATTTGTATAATATTATTACAATTTCTATATTAATCTAATAATATATTGCTATATACAACTAATTACAATACAAATGCATTCATGGACAATACAAATACATACAAATACAAAGGCATTCTACAATTATTTTTCTTTCGAAAGAAAATTTTTTATTTTGAACTTCTCACTGGCAAAATGCGTTGTAATTATTATTCCACGGAGTTGGAAAAATTTCAAAGTTAACAATATAATTAGTTAACAATATAGTTAACGTTAATGTTAACATTAATTATATTTAACATTCGCACTTTGAAATTCTTAATGTTAAATATCACGTTAATGTTAGGTATAGGGATTTAATAATATCGTTAGAAAATTTTTATACGTTCCTGGCCAGGATTTCCAGGTTTCTATATGTTTGCATTTCGAATTCCTGTATTCCACTAGTAATAATTACTATTATTTTACCAGTGGTCGCTCTTAAGAGCTTGTTGTACAATGCTCTGCCAGAAAGAACAAAACTTTGCACATAACTCGTTGCGTTTACTCAAGTCGAAGGTTTCTCAGATAAAGATCGCATTGACGGAAATTGTACTACTGAATTCCCCATTCTTTTTATTGGCACATCCGTGCTATAAGACCAAGTATCGAGTAAATTGGATTGGGAGAAACACGTTACACATGAAAAATAACTACTCACTCTTTTTGGTCGATATAGAACGTATTTAGATTAGTTTTGGATTGGATATGTATCTCTATACAGCATTTCTATAATTTCTGTGGCAATTTTAAAGAACGAGTAAGCAATTGGAAAAAGATATTTGAGATCTGTTTGGTAACTATAAGGAATGTTGCTAGTCGAATGTGTTAAAATAAACTTAACAGGTTGTTAGAGTCCTTTATTCAGAACTTGTAGTGCAGTGTTTGCTGTGTGTTTCACAATAGCAGGAAAAACAGCTGAGATTATCGCACTTAAACACTTCACAAATAGCTAAAAGCGATATTCTGCAATGTAATCCTCGTTCTTCCAATATCATAAATCACTATTACGAAATTGCACGATTGACGCTTCTTTGCGCATAAATACATAAAGTACTGTGTTACTATTCCTACACTATTATATTACTATTATAAATGATTACTGTTATATTTTACTTATACTTCACGTATATTATATTTAATATAATATATTAATTATATATCAATTATAGTAAAAATATACTATACTATATTATATTTATATTATATTATATTTATATTATACTATACTATATAATATGCTATATTTTTACTTATATTTTATTTGTATTATATATATAATCAAATATAATAGTAGATAAGGAAATAGTGAATAACAATGATAAATATTAAATAGAAAACGATATTATAGTAACATAATAGCAAAGTACATATATAGTTCATCAGGTTATAATCTATTTATTATAATCTATTTATTGTAATCATTACTATTAGTAGTAAATGTATAATTGCAAGTTTGCAAGTTGTTCCAAAAATTATTACTGGTTATTTATTAATCTTTAATAAATCTCAGAGGTTCAATAATTCAAATTGCCCAATATATTCTGCTATATATATAATATAGTATGATATAAGTAAATAGTAAATAACAATGCTAAATATTAA